ACTCCAGCCTTGTTCAGGTAAATATGTTTGTATGCTAGAATTAAGTCCTTCAATAACTTGATCTGTTGTTAAATTTGACCATGTTTTATATTGTGATAAATCAAAATAAGGAGCAATAGCAATACCATGAAGAAATGTTGATGGTGGACCATAAACTTTATTTAAATAATCTAAACCTTGTGTAATTACAATTGGATTTACACTTTGACCAGCTAAAATTGGTCGAATTCGTTTCCATGGACCGACATTTTGTTCACCAAATACAGTTTTAAATAGGTCCGATATACGTTTGATTTGTGATGCTGTTCGTCGAAATGCCCAATAACCAGAATTAGTACTATTATCGTAAGCTAACTTTAATGGATCACCACGATTCAAAACAGAATCATTTGCAGCTTGAAGATTTGCTTTAGCTTGTGTAAATATATAATTCCATACTTCATTTGAATATTCAACATAAATATTAATTGTTGGTTTTAACTGATTTAACATTAATTGTGCTACATTTAATACATAATCATCCGTTGCTCCACAAGGTATGTTAATCCAAATATCAACATTTGAATTGAGTTGATTTACAATTAATGGGATTGTATCCCATGGATTGTGTTTAGGTGTTGTATATTGTGGCCAGTATAATGGGGTCGTATCATTCCAATTAACATCTGGATTATTATTTGTGCTTGTCCAATCCATAAAACGTATAATACTAAAACGTGATAAATGTGCTAACATTAAATTAGTAATATTTGATTTTGATGCCAAATCGTAACCAGGCTGTAATACACTTACATTTTGTAAACCAGGACCACTTGTATTTGTGAAACTAAGCATTATTTGGGATGCACCTTGTGGTATGATTACCCAAGCTGATAGAATATTTGTTGAAGGATTGTACGTTTTATTTGCTATACGTCCTGCGGATGCACCACCGGACACAGTGACTTGTGCATTACCTTGAGCAGTTAATAAATATGTTCCACCCATATCAACAGCATTGGTTGATAACACCATTCCAAAATCACTTGTAGGCCATCCAGTTATTGGATCAAATGTTGCATTTGAATCCCAAGGACGAGATGGACTACCCCATACACGACATTGTTTTACTAGATCAACGTATGGTAGACTACGACTCCAATCACGTAGACCATCCAAACCTGCACCAATAGCAACATCTGCATTAATATTTGGTATTGAAATCAATATTGAAATAATGATACACCAATGCATTGATATATGATCTAAAATACAAGTAACGTTCATCGTCAAGCGATTCACTTAGCCCTAGACTGATAGAATACATGTACGGATGTAATAGCATAAAAAGCTACATTAAAAAAGTAATACGCAAAATTGATAATATAACCAGTATATCTTAGGCGAGCAGAAAACTTAATTCGGAGAATTCTCACTCTAAGTAAAGATAATGCATTTTACAAATTTAATTTTTTTTGTCGTTTTTGTTTTATTTTTTTTTTGCTTTTATAAATATAAATAGCGCTCAATAAGATTAGACAAGAAAACGATTTTTTTTGTAATTATATTGGCGCTATTTGTACGTACAAAAATTTGAGTTTTATTAATCAATATTTTATGCTTCAATTCGCGTATTAATTCTAAACTATTAATAAATTAGACATTCATTGATACAACATTGCACAATCAATCCTACAATAATGAATAATTTAAACGATTTCTTTAAATCCATACTGCTCATTTGGTCTGACTCTCACTAATTAAATGCTTTTGTAAGCCGTTTTACACCACTACCCGAATTATAGTTATTTCATTGACACATTTTATCGATGATTATTATGGGTTCATTTACATCAGTCTTTAGATGGTCATCTGTGCCATAGTTACCGGAATACTTGTTTGTACCATGGTTGCTATATGGTCATCTGTGCCATAGTTACCGGAATAGTTGTTTGTACCATGGTTGCTATATGGTCACCTGTGCCATAGTTACGTGGTCGTTTGTACCAAAAAAATGACCGTTTGTGCCAAAAAAATGGTCACTTGTGCCAAAAAAATGGTCACATGTGCCAAAAAAATGGCCATTTTGACCGCGTTACCGACAGACAGACAGACAGACAGACAGACAGACGGACAGACACAGGTGAATTTCGGTTTCTAGACCCTAGCCTTTCAGTCTAGGGAAAATAAATAAAAATATCTTGGATAATATTTTTCTTCAAGCAGTAGTCAAGTCGATTGCCCAAAGAGTAGTGAAAAAAATAATCAGTTTTTTAATGCATAAATACAAATGACATTTTAATTTTGTCTTAAACGAAATTCACAAGTGACTAAATGGTATTGAAATTGAATAAACTGCAACAAGGAATAAAAAATTACATATTACTGATTTGTAGAGCTTCATTTCTAGTCATAAATTGCACTCAATGCATAACTTTTCTCGATCGAAAAACAACATTGAAATAACTAAATTTACATGTTGTTGTTATTAAAATGAAGAAGAAATTGTATGCTTTACCTCTATATTCTTTACGTAGAATGAATATGACATGCATTGATAGCAAACCTTGCCATGAAATAACCCGACTGTCGACCATTCACCTTTATGAAACGAAACAAGTCAATAATCATTACTTTTTTTCACAAGAGAATAGTATTCAATTTTTCTCTCTCTTTTCTCCATCAATCTTACGATATCGAGGGAAAAAAAATTTGTTTTTTTTCATGCAAATCATTACAAGCAAAGTAAATAACATATATTTTATGGTTGACAAGTACAATCTGATATTTTTGATCGAGTATGACAAAACATCATTTTTTGTACTCAAACATAATTACAATTGATGTTTTTTTCTTTAGCATCGTCTGCTCTCTTCATATCACTACAAAAATTGAGTCATCTATCAAGTTTTAGAAGAATAAGCTTGCATTAAAATTTTTGCGATATATTTCGCCAACAAAATCATTTCATAAATATGGTTGCTTTGAGAAATCTCAACAGTTTGTTTTAAACAAGTGTATTTAGGTTTTCTAGATTATTTCTTCTGCATGTTTACCTACATCTCACAAATGTAGACGACAATGAATGGATACAACATTGATAATCAAAAGATTCTCATGACATATACAAATAGGCGTACTACACATTTGAAAAAAGTAATATATAAGTTTGTCGAGCTGACAAAGTATTCTGTTCATGGAATCAGTAGAGATGATTATCGTAAGACAGAATTATGATATTTATTCACTTAATGTTGACCATTATGATACTGCCTGTAACTAAGAACATTACAGGGTGTTTCAAAAGTTCCGTCGAAAAAGAAATATGAATATGTCTTTAACCATTCCAACGATTTATCTAAAGTTTTTATAGTTTCATTTTATATTCGTTGAAATTTTATTTCACATAAATTCGTCTATGATAGGCGTACAAATTGTTCACATATCTGCGCAATACACAAATCTATCATTTTTGAAAATAACTGTAAAACCATCATATAAAGGTCAGTTTGAAATCTTTTTTATCCTAGTATGAATTTTCATTTTCAACTGAACTAGGTATTTGATAAGTCTTATAAAAACTATTCTCTGGATGTGGCGTGTTGGAGTGAATATACTCACTAATATATACAACTATACCCGTCTAGATCTATTCTACGCTAAATTTTGAGCTGTGTAACAGAGGTCTTCACAGGTTTACTTTTCATAGACCTGGCCTGCCAATGACAGACTATGAACCTCTTCAGCCTACTGTGCCTGTCTTTGATTATTGTTGGTCTGACCTGCCTGCCTGTCTGTTTAGGCCTATGTACTTTTTTTGCGTACTAATATTATGATAATAATTGAGTGGAAGTAGAAAACTGTCTCTATAAGAAAATAAGGAAGTTGCTGATATCCAAATATTATGATTAAGCGAAAGATTTATTGATTTAATGAGATATGTAACTGTTGAATAAAGACAAAAAGGAAGCTTTTAATATTTAGAAAAAAAACCTGGTTTTGAGTAAAAATCTTTTTACTTAATTTGATGAATTATTTGAAGAGGACTTATTATGTCCAACAGCATTACGACAATATAGATATGAATCAGGAACATAATACTTCGTAAACGCTTTATGTAAAACCTTAATAACAACCAATTAATAAGTGCGATCAGTTACCCACCGAACCGGATAAATAAAATAAATAAATAAATAGACAATGAACAATGTAATTATAATTTGTTAATAGTCCTGATTGTGCTCAATCAAACTGATACAAAAAGCATTTCTTATCTTCCAGAGCAAAGATTCTCCATATTATATTTTGATATCTGCATTTTCTACTCAAAAATTGAAGTTTTTAGTGACACTTTAGGAAAAATACGACAGGCAGGCAGTCAGATCCAATAACCTGTTTTGACCTCTGTTTCACATCAACAAGAACAAAAAGTTAAAGAATAAAAGAGTATAATACGTTTCAATTTCATGAATGCGTTTCATACAAATATTGATATTTGTTCAATTTTGTCATCATTAATAGGCTAATCAAGATTTATCTATAATAATTCATCAGAGTGTCTAGAGATGATTATTAAATATCCTTGTTAATTTAGAGTAAAAATACAGTGAAAATAGTAGTTGAATGGTATCTGTTACCCTTCAAAACCACGCAATCATTGTAAATGATGTCGTTTATCATCATATTCGACTACTTTATAATATATTATATAACGTTCATCATGGAAAAACAGCTATTTTTCGATGTTTTTATATGGACTTCAAACTATTTTGTGTGCTTGGAAGAAAAACTTTACTTTTGTCTTCAAAAAAAAACTGGAACGAAGACTCTAGATTATAGTTATGAAACTCCATTAGAAGAAATAGTAAAATGTTTAAAAAAAAAGATTTATTTATACTAGCAAATAACAAAAAAAATACTCATGAATACTCTATTGTTACTTTCCTAAGTACAAAGAACTGCTGTTTTCTTCTTGCGTTCATCTTCCATCCACCCTTTTAAGTTAACCACCTGGATTATTCTTATTCTTTCCGAATAAGATCGAGTGCTCGTGATAGATAACCACTTCGATATCGATTTTCATTTTGAACTAAATTGATCACATCACTGACAACATCATCCACATTCACCCTAGTATTTCCTTCATGTATACAATTATCACCTATATCTCCAGGACTCCATAGTGCATGTTGCAGATTGAATACTTCGACCCAACGTCGAAAATTGAATGACAATAGACGACAACCAGGTGGATTGATTTCATAAAGAATCGCCCCTAGTCACATGACAAGAGCATTCGCTGTACCAGCACCAGAACTCCAATAAGAACACCAATCGATCGAGCCATACATGCTGTTTCATAAAGATCATCGTTAAAATTGAATTGTTTTGGCCAAACACGTAGATAAGGATTTTTATGATCAGGAAATGCTTTTAATAGTGCTTCGACTAATTCATCAGCATTGGTTAATTCTCGACGACCGATACCAGCTCGATTCATAACAGCAATATATTCTCCACTAAAGATTGTTTCTATTGATGATATACTAAACGATTGATTTTGACATTGTTCATAATAGAAAGGTACTTGCTCTGATTTATGACTCTCTTGTAATTTCTTTTGAATGGATGTCAATTCGAATATGGAATGTAATTCAAAATTATTCAATATCCATTCTGAAAATGCTAAATAAGCTCGTCGATATTCTTCTATATTAAATGAATAATAATCAACTAATCTATTCGGTTTCTGATGAATACCCCAGCAATTCGATCGCTTGTACGATCCTCCCGTGAAAACCACATGTTTGAACATGACTGTTACTTGATTAAATGATTCATAAGTTAATACAGGATAAATGGAAAATATAGCATTAAATACATTAGTCCATCGAGCATTATGTTGATAGGTTCCATCTGAAAGTCGTTTCATAGCTAGCCATACAATACGTCCATGATCTATATGCATTTTGGATGAATAATAAAGTTGAATTTTATTTGGATCAATATATGTTCGATAAGATTGTATTATAGAGAGAGTCCCAAAAAAAGAGAACCAGCTCTTTCAAGAAATCCATGAGCATAATTTGATTCAGAAGTACCACCCATATGAATAGGTTGTGTTCAAATGGCTGAAACACCAAGTTGTTTTATCATGAAGAATATGAGTTTGAATTTCACCATGTGAAGATATGAATCGGTTTCGAGTCATCGCTTAAGCTTCTGATGGATGACGATAATAATAGTATGTATTGTTGGATGAAATGAAATAAATATTAGTTAGAAAACAATATTCATGACTCCCAGGCTCTTTAGACGATGTATTCGAACATTTCCAAGATGAATATGGATAATCTTTGAAATTCTTATTTTTGGTCCATTAAATATAGTTTTTATTGAATGGTTCTATAGTATATTTTCCATTGGTTACACGAACTGTTTTGGAAAGATTTGCTCGTATTGATTTAACTGATTGCAAATACGAATGCATTTCTTTGTAAAGGGATGAAGATATTCATCCATCTTCTGTGCCATTGTTCAAACACAATTGTTCTTTCCGAATATTGCTTGTAATCAGTGAAATTAATGTCAAATCTATTGTGTATAGCAACAGATGATCAATAAAGAAGTAACGAATATGCACAGAATGAACAGTATTGTTTTTCGACCGATCATTAGTTGGGCCTTATTTGTTAACTCAGCACTTGATTGCATGATAGAAGATAAGTTTAGAATAATAACAACCATAATAAGACTGAAGAAAATTCTTTTCTTTTTTTACAAATTTGGTGTTATCAAGGTTAATTCTAGTTTATTTTTTGCTTCACTATGGAACAATATCTAAATTGTTTGAGCGTCGTTCTAGATGCAGAGTAAATTTTTCTTAACTATACGTCGAATTAATCTGCTGTTTCGTCTATAATCTTGATGATAGTACGTCTCTCAATCAGCTTTCTTTTCCTCACATTGCAAGCCTATTCATCAATAGGTATGCACATTGTCACTTGATTCATCTACATGTTGTTTCTTTCCTTTTGTATGCAAAACAGCTGATCCATATCAAACATGGATAAAATAGATTGATTACCTTGTTGCATTTTTTCTTTTTCTACTCATCGAGTGATTCAATTGTTTGTTCGTCATATAGAGAAAACATAGAGCAAGGATGTTAGAGCAAAGAAGAACAAAAAAAAATATATTGATAATAAACTGTGCATTATCATACATCAAAGTATTCTGATTAACGACGTGGGAAAGATCTTTTTTCTAACAATCCTTTCATTATAATTCTGACAGACGTTGTGATTCATGGTATCGTATTAATCTTTTCTTTCTCAATAGCATCTATAAATGCCATTTTTTTAAGATTTTGTTTTCTTGAACTATACGACATATAGAAAATAATTTTATACTAAATTAACGCACATCCATTCCAAATTTTATAACAATGATTCGAAACATAATATTCTTTATAAAATGTTTATTTACTATTCAAACAAATATACAATGTTATGGCATGTGCTAGAGTCGTGCGCCACACGAGAGTACTGACGTATAATTGATCTAACAAATCAGTATTGAGTTTCTCTTTGATTTTTCAAATGGTTGTATATATGAATGAGCTAGAAAGAAAGAAAGATACTTCAAAAGAAACACAAATGAAAGAGAAAAGCGTCAGAAGAATGGTGAATTCTCGTTTCGTCGAAAAGTAACACATTAAACTCATTTACTTCAAAGTACATCAAAGCAATGCGGGTGAGGGTGATTTTTCGACGAAACGAGAATGAACCAGAAGAATATCAGAAGAAGAGAATATTTTGAAAAAACCTATAGGTAAAGGAGAGGATATATATATATATGTATGTCGTACTTGTCATGTGTGCTACATAAAAGAAAGTGAAGGACTATGTTTGTTACCGTATAGTGTCATGCTGAACCGTATATATTTTGTCTCGCTTAAACAAATACAACAAGACTATTTTAAACTCATTGTCTTACTAACGAGGGTAGGTTCCCAAAGTGTGGACCACCGTTTCGAATGGGAGATATGTCAGATTGTAGAGCTCAATGAGCGGATTCTCATGATATGGTTCGTTTTCCTGATAGAACTTCAAATTTGAAAAACCGATCGATTTTTCTAGTGAATATCTATATTTTCCATAAGTTTCGAGACAATTGTTAGAAATTTAGAACTTCAAAGGTATTTCATTTTTAGATGATCATGTTATAGAATACAGGATGACGCATGCGATGATCTATTTTTATCTTATTTGAAGCGTAAGTTCAAGTTCATCTTCTGAATACATAACAACATTTTCTCTCGGAAGTGCTGAAATACCTCCAAGTGTAATAATTCAACAATTAAAATTCATAGCAATGGTGAAAATAAGTTTTACATGACAATACTGTTCCCCGACTCTTTAAAAATAATATAAAAATAGATCATCGCATGTGACATTCTGTATTCTATAACATAATCATCTAAAAATGAAGTACCTTTGAAGTTCTAAATTTCTAACAACTGTCTTGAAACTTATGGAAAATGTAAATATTCACTAGAAAAATCGATCAGTTTTTCACATTTGAAGTTCTATCGGGAAAAAGAAACCATACCACGAGAATCAGCTCATTGAGCTCTGCAATCTAAGATATTTCACATTCGAAATGGTGATTCACATTTGGGAACCTTCCCTCGTTAATTTAAATGCGTATATATATTTCTTTTTATCAGTTCCTTGATACAACCAAGTCTTGTTACTGACATATTTTTGAATGATCTTTATTTTTAATATATTTTATACTTTTAAACTAGTGCTCGCGTATATCTTCTTATTCTCAGACATTGTTAAAAAGGAAAGAGCCGATGTAACTCTAAATGAGACGTATATTAGGATAAAGTCACAATGTATAAGATCCAATATTAAATTTTGACAGAAGACATGCATTAGCTGGTGGTTTTAACATTGTGAGAAATCGAAACTCATGCTAATCGGTTTAGCTTTTTGAGTAACTATTAAAATTTCAATGAAGCACAAAAATATTCATCTCGAAGTGCAAGTACATTTTTTTTCAAGTACAAGTAAAATACTTTCAAAAAGTACGAAAAGTTCAAGGACAGATACTTTCGTCTGATCTCTGATTCAGAGATCAATTCAACGTCGTTTATATGGAATTGATATTAGAGTGAAGATTGCAACAAAATAACATGGACACTCATACCCACCCACACACCTACGTTCGCACCCCTGTTGGTAGTACTAAGGTGCATATTCTTATCAGTATTTTTTTTACTTTAGAAAAAGAAAAGTTAAGACTCAAGATTGTTTTCTATTTAAATAATTTAAATTGAAAACCATAACCGAAATTCAATATAAGTGTCTCGATTTCAAGTTTATGTTCGGAAATATTAAGACACGTATTGGGCTCAAGTGCAACAAATAAGTTCATTCTAACCTATGAATTTTATTGTTATATGATTGTTCAAGCAAAGAGAATAAATTCATACAATACATTTAGCTGTCATTTTCTTTCTTTTTTGTGTTAGTATGTATCTGAAGGTGAGAGTCAGTGTGGATGTGAGTCTAGGAAGTATTGGATTTGTTTAGTGTCTTTTTTCACACCCACATCCACACCCTAAATTATTGTAGATACGTTTTCAAACATTATTTGTACATCATTTTGAGAGTCAACAATCTACACATATGACATAGAACCGTTATCCACTTTTCACTTGAAAATAATACCAACATATTGTCCATCAGCTTTTCTTGTTATTCCAAATATGAATTGATACTGTATACGCGGAGAAAACAAATAGCTGTAGTCCGTATTTCGATTAAATCGTTACCATAAAAACGTATCTTTACAAAAATAATGATATATGCTGAAGGTACGTGGAGTTTTCTATTATCCTGCATATTTTCATTTTCGTTTACACATATATATTATCAAAAAAAAAATTGAATGCAATGAAGACACTCTCATGTCCAGATTCCCGCAGATTTGATTTTGTTACTGTTATCATAATCAGCTTTTAAGATTTTTTATCACGACATAATTATCTTTTTGAAAAAGCCATCTTGAAATTCTCTATCACTCTGTAAATTTATCTATTTTCTTGCAATCATTTATTGATAAATAATTTGAATACAATTAACCTATCCTCAATTGATAAGTACTAAAAATCTCCATTTCTTTTGTACTTTTGCAGTTTTATTTTTGAAATTATTATTCTTATGGGGAAAGTTTTTTTGAAAAGCAATTATAGATTCTGATGGAGCTGGAAATTCTCTATTGTTCTGCATATTTTTGTCTTGCCTTGCATTTATATGCTGCAGCACATAAATGCAAGACAAGACAAAAATATACAGGATGATAGAGAATTTCAAACCCTATCAAAATCCATGATTACTTTTTTAAAAAGCTACTTCTGTAGTGATGAAAAATTTTGATGACAGTGACTAAGTCAAATCTGAGAGAATTTGGACATGCAGGTGCCTTCGTTGTACTCAATTGTTTTTGATAATACATATGTGTAAACGAAAATGTAAGTATACAGGGTGATAGAAAACTTCACGCTCGTTCAGAGTATATCATTATTTTTGTAAAAATACGTTTTTATGGTTATGATTTTACTCGAAATACAAATTTCAACTTGTTTTTTTTTCCCCACGTATATAGTAAAATATGAGAAACACAAGCAAAAACTGAATTATGCTTGATTAATATCAAAATTTATTCGTTTTTTTTAACTTTCTTTTCTTTGATACAAAAAAAAAACGCTAACAAAAACACGACGGACCAGAATTTTTGTATACAGAAAAAAGGATGAAACAGATACCAATTTTTCTGCTGTTTTACAACGATATTCTTTATCAGGATCGGGAAAAAACAACAAACAATAGCTATTTCACGAATAATTACTGGGTGTGGATTGTCCAGAGGATGAACTGAAAATTGGTGAAATCG